ACCAATTTCTGATTGCAAAATGAGAAAATTGATTGAATAAAGCATTAATATAGCATTTCCAATAAATTGAGCACAAATTTTTCGACTTAACCATTTGGATCTGGTGCAGGTCAGAAGCCAGGCTTGACCTTGCGCTAAAAAATTACTGGGCTGGCCTATTGGCTTAAGTATTTCCTTCTCTTTTCTTTCTTTCTTTCTTCCTTTTTCTTTCTCTCTTCCTTGTCTTTTCCTATTTCTTAACCCAAACAAGAATGTCCAGATAGCTCAGTGGTAGCTTTGCCCGATCGTCTTCTGCTTGGTAAGCAGAGATCCGGGAGTTCAATTCCTTTGTGGTTTCAATTGTCATTCATTTCTTGACTTTATAAAGATCAATGAAAACACTCTTGACACTAAAAAGCTTTCTTGTTCTGCATTTTCACATTAGAAAACTTTGCTCTTTTAGTTCAAAAATCGTTCATTTCCACACGCTCAAAATGTACAAAATTGTATCACAAAGCAAAGAAAGCACCAATATTACATATTTAGTAAGTAAAAAAAAGTTTGATAAGTGAATGAAAGTTTATAAAACATCTTATCTAATGGATTTAACTCATAAAAAAATCGTTTTTCTGCTGCAAAAAGTGAACTGAATGAAGCTGAAAAAATGAACATTGAACATGACGAGCGGTCACATTCGTGCCTAATGCCTGAGGGATGAGTCTTGCTTTTCTCCAAGCCTTGCAACGTCTTCAAAAATTTTCTAAACCTATCAAATCACTCTCGCCGAATCAGTTTTATTCTTTTTTTATAATAAAAAGCAATATTAAAATATAAAAACAGGTTGTTACCTTAAAAGAAAATTTTTTTTTTTATGGTTATCCGGTTGCGATTAATACAGTCCCTGGTATGCATTACTTAATATTTATACCAAAACTTACCAAGAGTTTATTAGATTTTCTCAATTTTACTTGCACTTCTCAATTTTATGTTAGCGCAAGTAGGAAAAAACCCAATCCCAGTAAGCTGCCAGAAATAAGTTAGTGGAAAAACGATTGTTAAATTTTAGAAGTAGCCGTCCCTGGTATGCAGGCTAGAGCTGGCTAAAAGAAGAGCTGGCTTTTTCGCCATCATTTGTTATTTTTAAATTTGCTCAATTGAAGAAACAAAAAGATGCTCAGATTGGCGAGAAAATTTCCAAAAATGGGACATGAAGAGAAAGATTGACTAGACAACAAAATTGATTGAAAATGAGCAGCAATCATTCGTGCCTAATGCCTGATGAGTCTTGCTTTTCTCCAAGCCTTGCAACGTCTTCAAAATTTTCTAAACCCATCAAATCACTCTAGCCCGCGATGATTTTCATTCTTTTTTTATAATAAAAAGCAATATTAAAATATAAAAACAGGTTGTTGGCTTAAAAAATTTATTTTTATGGTTATCCGGTTGCGATTTATACCTTTCCTTTAAGGGTATGCATTAAAAAATATGTGCATTATATATAATATTTATACCAAAACTTAAACCCTTTTTAAAGCTTCTATCGTGATATGAGAATCCAAAGTTGAAAGTGGCTTTTGGAAAAACAGGAGTTTTAGCTCTCGAAGACAAAAAAACAAAAGAAGTTCTTTATGTTATTTTCAAATAACTTTAATTAGCGGTATTCTCTAACGAAAAACTCGCAAAGGCTATTACCAAAAGAAGAGACTTTTTCTAGAAAATCGTCATTTTTTTAGACGTAATAGTTCTTGGGAAATTCTGGAGATCAAGAATTCAAAGTTTAAAAGTAGCGATTTTGATTTAAAATAGGGCTTAAGTCTTGCACACCTAAGTCACTCAATTCCCCCAATAATCAATCTATTGGGTTATTTTGATTCATAATTATCCGGACTTCTTTTATAGAAATGATTTTATTTAACAAAAAGTAACATAAATAGTTAGAAAAAAATATGTTTAATTTGATTATTCTGAAGCCTGTTTACCGCCTAACATCCAAAACTGATTGCCATTTAGGGAAAAAGACGATCCACGTTTACGAGCGAAGAATAAACGATCTTTGGAGGCAATCCACGCTTTAACATCATTTATCAAGTCATCCAAATCGTTGTAGATCTTATTTGTTTGCCAATTTTTGAGCGATCGATTGACGAGGTAGTCCGTTGGGGCTTCTCCAGTTCTTTGAGATCCCATGAAACGACTCTGCGGCAGACCATCCCTTTTCGAAGTGGTAGAGCATGATATGGCGAAGATGGATATGATTGTCGACACACATTTTGTTCACTAAAGAATAACGAATATTTAAAAAAGAAATAGACAAAAAAGCTTTCAAAACAAAAAGAAGATACAAGCACGCAAAAGAAGTCCGGACAATTTTGCCATCAGCCCCCCAATTCAAAATCTTTTCAAACTATTTCATAGGGAATGAACGAACACGAAGTATTTAAAACCAAAATTGTGCTTTTGCATGAAATTTCAATTCAACATGAAATAGATAGAGAAGATGAAGGGAACATGATTGAAGAGAGGCAAATGAATGTTTTGTTTCTTTGTTGAAAGATGGTTTTATTTCTGCACAAAAATGGAAAAGCCCAGCATTCTGTTGCACGGTGCTCGACCATCTGAAAACTGATTGACTATTACGATTTTCTCTTTGAGAAACTTTTTCCTAAAGTTCAAACCTCCATCAAATGGCGGGTATCTTGCCATGCAAACGACGGCATAGTCTTGATCTCGACCATCTGTAAGCTGATTGTCCATTGATTTTCTCTTTGAAAACTTATGCCTAAAGTTCAAACCTTCATACCAAAAAACGGAATCGATATTTTTCTCGAAATCAAGAACAGTTTTGGTGAAATCTTGGATCTTTTTTGCCAATTGAGTCACAGAAGCGTCCAACATCCGAAGTTTTCACGTCAGCTTTTTCATCATTTTGTTTCACTTTAGTGATTAAATCCTGAAGAAGAAATTTGATGAAAAGATGGATTACTGAGCATCTACAGCAAAGAATAGCTAAGGATTGGTGCACCAGAAAAGATGCGTTTAGAAATTTGAGCACTAAAAGTACACCAAAACCTCTTTCCTCACTGCAACGCTCTTCCTTGCCGTCATTTTGCCGACCCACGCTTCCCTCAGCGTTCAATACCTCCAAAGTATTCTAACATCTTTCGGCCTTTAAAAAGCTTCTAAAATTTTTTATAATTAAGCCAGAGTCATAGTTCAAGTAACGTAAATACTGTAAATAAATGGCACCTCTACGCAAGTGTACGAATTACGTTTGAAATGTAAAAATATTTCTTTTTTTTTCTTGAAAATCACTTGCGTCTAACGTCTTTTTAGCATAAATTTTGTTGTTTTTATCTTTTTCTGCTTATTATATTATTATTATAGAGTACTAATTTTATTTTTCAGATATCGATCTCGATGGAAACCCGTTTGATGGAATGGAGGAATTTCAGGCCCGTTACGAACATGAGGGAAACATGTGGTGAGCTCACCGAGCAAGATGTTGGACGAATATCAGTCACTCTTTGAACCTCCAGAAGGATCTTCAAGCAAAGCGGGATAAATCAACTACAAAGAAAAGAGGAAAACCATCGATATGAAGACAGAAACTGGCTGCTACAAAGATGGCCAAGGATGTTTCGATCATCGCGGCGGCAAGATATTTCAAGGTTCCTTGGAGGTACGTCCAATCTTACGTCAAACGAGCGGCCCAGCTCGAGAAGATTCACGGGAAACGCAAGAGACTTGATGGAACGCCACTTGAACTCGGAGGGATTAATGTCGGTCTGGCTGAACGAATCCGATAAAGCTGAGTTGAAAAGAAACGAGTGGCCCGTTGAATCATTTGGAATGAGGCAAATCGGTTTGCTGATGAATCGATTCTTTCAAGAAAAGTCACGGATGGAATGCTTGAACGAAGGAATGCTCAAGAAGAAAATGATGAATTCATTGATCCTGATGTTTTTGTTGATTGCGATAGTTGAATTGTTCATTTTCTTATCACTTGTTGTTTACAAATTGAATATAATTTAAAGAAAATTTTGATTTTGTCGAAAAATTATCTGAATGGATCCGACTTTGGCAACTTGGAATATCGATAAAAATTGAACGGCATCCTCTACTAGAACGACATGCTGTTCAATTACAGTATTTTGTTAGGTAATCGAAGTTGAAATCCTTCCAAACCTTCAAATCCAATAAATTCGGCATTTCCCCTTTGCACATTCGATGTGAGTTTGGAAAGCAATGCGTACAAAAAGCCTCGTTTTTATCTAAACTCTTTTCTACAAAAATGAACTCCAGGAAAAGCTGCCGTAATCCCATTAGTTTTAACTATATTTGATCTGGCATTTAAAACTTTAAAAAACAATCGGATTACGAAACTTTTCTACGTTTTAGAAACTGCTCAGCTCAAGCTTTTAAATTTCTTTTTCAAAACTTACCGCCGATTCCAATTCCTCATTCGACATATCCAACAGCTCTTTGTTGTGTTTTGCCTGAATATTCAAATTTTTTAAACTTTTCCTAAACGAAGATGATCCTCGCAGATTCGAGATTTCGAAGAATCTGTGTCCCGTCTAGCTCGACACACGACGGACAAGTGATGCGTTGACCCTCGAGTTTATCTAAACTGGTTTTCCTGACCTGTTCATTTTCCGTCTGATTCTCAATAGGTGTACAACGGAAAAATTCTTGTGAAAAAAATGAGCAGCAGCCAATTTGTTCTTCCTTGTCGTTCCTATTTCTTCTTACGAGGGAATGTTCTCAACTCAAAGTTGGGAATCGATCCGAAACCAAGTGGGCCTTATAGAATCGACAACGGAGATTCATAATCTGCTAAAATTAGCTGCCAACTCAACCTGCATCGCGAGATATTTAAGTTTAAAGTTTTCCAACAAAACAGAAAAGTTGTGCTTGGTACTCTTGGCTATTAGGGTCTCCTTAATGCAAGTCGGAATCTCTTTGTAGTGTAATTGGCAGAGAGGTGGCCTCTGGCTCTAGGGGTCCAGGGTTCGAATCCTTAAAGACAATCAATCAAAGCAAAAAGGTTAGGCAGGATACAAACCCTCGACCCCTGGAACCAGAGGCCTCCCTCTACCGACTACACTACAGAGACACTCCGCCCTGCTTTAAGAAAGCCGTTATATCCAGGAGTGCCAAGCACCAATAAAATCCAAAAGCAAAAGGCCCAGGGTTCAATTCCCTTGCTTCCAGATTCATTCCCATTCTTTTTTACTTTATTAACTCACCGCAACGAGTCCAGGCAAGCAATCGTCCGGCATCTTTAGATTCAGCATTTCCATGTCATACTCATTCTCGAGCTTAATTCTTCTTAGGGTCACAACTTCCGGGAATGCTTGAGTAAAGCCACGATTTCTAAGGATTAAAAACAAAAAACCGAATTTGAGACGAATATTTTCCCAGCATAAGCTTTTGATTTTCTGAAGTTTTTAATACATTTGTTTTTATCTTCGAGTTGAACCAGTTTTTAACCAGATCGATTTAAATCTTATTGCTTATTTCAAAATTCGGTATTTTTTTACTTTTCTTAACAAAAATCCATCTCCTTGTATTTAAAATTGAACTTTAGACTTTTGAATGAAGGTTATTTTAGATATTTTTAAACTTGCTCATCATTCTCACCTCTAATTTTTCCTTTCTCAACGCGGCCAATTCTTGCTTCAATTGGCCGTTTTCTTCTGAAAGTCGTTGGCATTTCTCCCTTTCTAGAGCCAAATCTTGCATCACGCGATCGAGCTATGATTTGGAATCAATTTTCGATCAGGAGTTTTGGTTTAAAAACGATTGTAGGACACTTAATACGCCCCCCCCCCCTTGCGGTTGGCAATCCAACTTTAAGCTTAAATTTCTTCGTGTTAGGCTGTGCAATTGAAATAGTTTTTGTACCAATCGACAGAGAAAGACTTTTGCATCTAATGATGCCAGGAACATTTAAATTGGACACCCCAACACCAAGAGGTATTGTGAGCTCAAAGTTGGATTGCTAATGAAAAAAGCCGAGGCTAATATAAAATGTCGCGTATAACGCTTTAAAAACGGTAAAAATTAAGAATACCAGACAAATCAAAGTTCTTTTCGTTTATTTACAGCTTGCTTGAATATTCAGCCAACAAGACAATAATCTTGCTGTAGTTAAGATTATATTATAACAAAAACAAACCTCAGTGGCCATAGTTGTTGTTTTGAAAAGCAGAGAAGTAAGAAAATTTAATCAATTTGGCTCTCCGATCAAGGCCAATCATGATTTTTCTTGCAACAAAATAAAAGTTTTGCTTTGTGATAAGGAAAGGTGATTCATTTTTTCATTAGAAAAAGTGCTGGGAATTGCACAGGATAACTTGGGAAGAAGGGAGAATAAGATTCAACTCATACAATTGAGTCTATAGGTATCTCATGATTCTTTTTTATATTCATTTATTAGTTTCCTGTCACAGAAAATGAGTAAAGTGATAGGACCACCCTCGATTTTTCCAATTTTTGATTTTAAATACCTAAAAATGGCAAACAATGCTTAAATTAGAATTTTGTATACAAAAATACGCAAAAATACCGTTTGTCCAATCATTTACTTTTAAAGGCAAAATCTTTAAAGCATTTTTTAAGCATTGTATTTTACACCTGTTGCAAAATGATAGGACCACTACGTTTCTTTTTGATATTCTACTTGTAATAACCATGTTTTTTTGCTTACTTTTTGCTAATTTTTATTTTTTAGGAAGATGGGGCGTGGAAAAAATGAAAATTTTGATTTTGAAACGAAGAAAGTTGTCGAATCGGAAGATCGCAAAAATGAAGCTCTTACACCAAGTTGTCTCAAATTTCTTGAAGGATCGTTCAAAGTATGGTAAGAAAAAGCCTCCGGCACGTCATTGAAAGCTCACGATCCGCGCTGAACGGCATATGGGACGTCTGTTGTCGAATTGGGTGATGTTGCTACAGGGCGTCAAGGTACAAATTAGAGTTCCCGTCCATAAAAGCACTCTTTCTTGAGTGATCCAAGTGTTACATCCGTTACATCAAAGAGCAGTCATGGAAAAGCACCAAAACTGAAGGTTGGATGGCCCAGACGGCAACGAAGTACTATTAGCACAATTTGAGAGAAGATCCAATGCTCTCTGGGCGGCGAAACTTTCCTTTGTACACCCACAAATTTCCACGAAAGCACACCCAAATCTCGTGTGGTGCATTGAAATTCTCTAAAAATAAGAAATTCAGTGCTCGGCGTGGCCAAGAGTTTTCACGTTTTCAGCAGAATTTCCGTCAAACTTCGAAAAAAATGTGAATAAGCAATGGAAATGCTGAATCTTGCATGGGAAAAAATAAGGAAAAGTAAAAATTCGAACAAATTTTAGATATATTTTCGTAAAAACCGTACACGGATATAGGAAAACTAGATTTTTAGGGAAATTTTAACATTTTATTCCTCTTCGGTGGCGTTTCGAAGGCGCTCGGTCGGGCTCGAAGAACACGAATCGATCTCGTTTGATTGATTTCGATCAATGCTCGCGTTGATTCGATCTGAAAGTGAACAAAAATTTACAGATCTACAGGGTCTACAGGGCATAAGTATGGTTACAAGGTTGTACAGTGATTTAAGAGATCTACTGCTAGATTTAAGAGATCTACTACTACTACGGAGAGACTGCTCGCTTTTAAATCTTGTCAAAGGATTATTTTTCGTAATTTGAATGCTTTTTTATATTATGCAGCAGTTTTTAAGTAAATTTTTAACTTTGGACATAATGGGCTGGATAAATTCTTGAGACATTTGAAAAAACCTACAGGCTACAGGCTAGAGGCTACAGGCTGAGGCTACAGGCTAGAGGCTACAGGCTAGAGGCTACAGGCTAGAGGCTACAGGCTAGAGGCTACAGGCTAGAGGCTACAGGCTAGAGGCTACAGGCTAGAGGCTACAGGCTAGAGGCTACACTTCGATTCGGAAGGAGTAGTCAAAGGATTGGCTTTGAAAGTTTTTCGATTCAAAACCGAAATTCTACTACGAAAGAGGAATCCGGAAAGTACCTGTAAAATGGGCAGAAGTCGTCAATAATAATGGAAATTATTTGGAATGAGTTGATGGGTTTATGTTGAATAAATTTTAGCTCAAAGTCAGGCAGTTTTCAATTCACCAATAGTTAAACTTCATTTATCACTAAATCATTGCCAAATTCGATTAGTTCACAAAATCAAACTTGAAAGCTTGCTCTGATATTACAGTCGAATCAAAGATGATATCAAGCCTGATTGATTCTGTGCTCAAGGAAGACATGGCTAGATCTGATCAGAATCAAGATCAGATCTAGCCTGATCTTGATTCTGATCAAATCTATTTCAGATCAAAGTCTAACGTTTTAAAATAGCTTTAAATTAGATCAAAATTGATTTTCTACTTACAATAGTAAGTATAAAGTCAAACTTTTCTTTAGACTTACTGTTTTTTGAGCAGCAGCTAGAGCTTGTTCGTAAAAGAGCTTCTAGACCACCCGGTTTAGGAACATTAGACGATTGAACTCGCAATTGTTCTAACTAAAAAAAGAAACCAATACAAATACAATAAAAATACAATAACTTTTTGATTCTTTTGTTATAATTAATAAGGTTTAAAGAACTGTTGCTCTTTTTTAGCTAAATTTAAACAGAAATCAGTTAAATATTATATAAAATGATCAAGCAATAAGCTAATAAACAAATACTAAATCAATAAAATACTAAAATCAAAGTTTCACTTAATTCTTTCAAACCTGTTGAACTAAAGAATGTGAGGTGACAGGGTCAATTTGTGGAACGGGCTGTTGTCTAGCGGCGTTCAACTGCAATTGATGAGCAGCTTGAGCTTGAGCTTGAGCAAAGATGTTTTGTTGTTGGCTGCAGATGTTGGATTATAGAGTTCAATCTACTGCTTACCGTAGGATATGATGTTGAGGTGAAAGCTGGGCAAGTGATTCGAGTTGATCTCAACAGAGACGGGGATTTGAGCAGCCGAGACTTGGGGTAGCTGGAAATGAATGGTTTTAAAAGAAGATATAGATCAAGCTACAGATCAAGATCAGCTATAGATCAAGCTACAGCTCAAGATCGAAGCTATAGATCAAGCTACAGATCAAGATCAAGCTATAGATCGAAGCTACAGCTCAAGATCAAGCTATAGATCCGAAGCTACAGATCGAAGATCAAGCTATAGATCAAGCTACAGCTCAAGCTACAGCTCTAGATCAAGCTACAGATCAAGATCCAAGCTATAGATCAAGCTACAGCTCAAGATCAAGCTATAGATCAAGCTACAGCTCCAAGATCAAGCTATAGATCAAGCTACAGCTCCAAGATCGAAGCTATAGATCAAGCTACAGCTCAAGATCAAGCTATAGATCAAGCTACAGATCAAGATCAAGCTATAGATCAAGCTACAGCTCAAGATCAAGCTATAGATCAAGCTACAGCTCAGAGATCCAAGCTATAGATCAAGCTACAGATCAAGATCAAGCTATAGATCAAGCTACAGCTCAAGATCAAGCTCTAGATCAAGCTACAGCTCAAGCTACAGCTCTAGATCAAGCTACAGATCAAGATTCAATTTTTATTTTATTTCAAATCAAACCTGAATCCCAATATGATTGATGAGTTGCGGAGGCTGAGACTGTGACGGTGGTTGAACAGCGGTTGGTTGATTGGGGAGAGGCTACCACCTGGACCAACCATTGGAGCTGGAGGAGCTGAAGTAGCTGGAAAAATTGTTGTAAAACTTCTTGGAAATCTACTTTAACTGATCACGTAAAGACTAAAAATAGCAGAAAAACAGCTAAAAACAGCTAAAAACCAACCAGAATTCGATCCTTGCGATGTTGATGAAAGATGTTGATTCAAATGTTGCTTCAACAAAACGACGCGAGATTGTTGTACACTTAAGTTGAAGAAGAATCTGGAAACAGATTTTACAATAAAAGATTGTAGTTTTAAAGGAAAGAGGAAAAGCTATAGTTAATGGAAATTTGTTCAAATCAATTTCAATAAAAGCACTATAAGCTGTTGACTTTTCTAGACTTTGTCATCATTTCTTGGCTTTACAAAGATCTAGGTTAGTTGTACTTTGTTATTTGTCAGCTGTTAGTCTGTTGTCTCTCCAGCTATTTGTCAGATGTCTCTCTGCTGTCCTGTCAGCTGTCTGTCAACTGTCTGTCAGCTGTCAGCTGTTTGTCAGCTCTCTCTGATGTCTCTTAGCTGTCACTCAGCTGTCTGTCCAGCCGTCGGCTGTCAGCCGTCAGCTGTCAGCCGTCAGCTGTCAGCCGTCAGCTGTCGGCTGTCGGCATTCAGCCGTCAGCTGTCTGTCAGCTGTCGGCTGTCAGCTGTCAGCTGTCTCTCAGCTGTCTCTCAGCTGTCTCTCAGCTGTCTCTAGCTGTCTCTCAGCTGTCTCTCAGCTGTCTCTCAGCTGTCTCTCAGCTGTCTCTCAGTTGTCTCTCCAGCTGTCTCTCAGCTGTCTCTCAGCTGTCTCTCAGCTGTCTCTCAGCTGTCTCTCAGCTGTCTCTCAGCTGTCTCTCAGCTGTCTCTCAGCTGTCTCTCAGCTGTCTCTCAGCTGTCTCTCAGCTGTCTCTCAGCTGTCTCTCAGCTGTCTCTCAGCTGTCTCTCAGCTGTCTCTCAGCTGTCTCTCAGCTGTCTCTCAGCTGTCTCTCAGCTGTCTCTCAGCTGTCTCTCAGCTGTCTCTCAAGCTGTCTCTCAGCTGTCTCTCAACTATCTCTCAACTGTCTATTTATCTATAGTTTGTCTAGGTTGTTTCAAAGACTTAATCTATACTAATTGATTTTTAAACCTTCAAACCTAAACTTGCAAGCAAAAAAACCCTATTAAATGTTTATCAGCTTTTCAGCTTTCACCTGTATCTTTCAAAGCTTTTATTAGACGTTTTTCGTCCCGAATCGTTAACTCCACGATTGTATAATTATTTTGAGCAAAAAAGAAAACGACTTACTCGAAAAAAGGCAAAAAAACCTATGACTAGATTCTGAATCCTTTTTGACCTAGTTCTAGTTCTTTTAAAGTCAGCTTTGAAGTTTAAATCTCAAATACCTGAGTGTAGAGACATCGTTGAGAGGTAAATCTTGTCCTTGTGGATTTTTGGATGGTGGTACGTCGAGATTGACGTGTTTATACGCGTGTATATCGAAGAATGGCACATTCACAGCTGGCTGTTGAATTGGCCAGGAGAGATAGTGGTAATCACCGGTCTGAAAAGGCGTTTTGATGGATTGTCCTCATGGTCGACTGGTTAAGAGCCTTTTATTTAACTAGATTGCCTTATAGACAGAGGACTCGAAACCTCGGGGTCCAAAAGGTCATACGCCCATCAGACGCGTGCACTAACCACTACACCACCAAGGCCGTTGACTGAAAACAGTGCATCGCCCTCTTAAAGAAACCCCAAAAACTTGTATGCTCTCAATCTCGCGATAGAGAAGCGTTTGGCAAAAACTGATTACAGATTCGGAATCAGCGTGAAAAACTGCATTAGATAGGCTATTTTCTGAGACAAAAGCTATGATAAGTTAACAGCATTCCTTAGTTTGAACATTTTGAACACCTGATCACACTTTAAACGGCTATAACTTTGTCTAGAGACAATATTATGTTAATTATTGATATCATTGAATAAAGGAGACTTCAGGCTTTCAAATGATAGTAAATAGAGCTTGATTGTTAAGTCAGCCGAGGAAATCAAAGCCAACTAAAAACAAGGGACCCCAAAACCTTGTATGCTCTAAATCTCGCGATAGAGAAGCGTTTGGCAAAAACTGATTACAGATTCGGAATCAGCGTGAAAAACTGCATTAGATAGGCTATTTTCTGAGACAAAACCAGTTAACAACGCCTTTTCATCGATTGTTTTCTGCTTCTCCTCATCGCCATTTGTCGGCAAAAAAGAAGTTTTTAAAAGCAAAAAGTTTCACTCGAAATTGATGACATAAAATGGAAAAGGTTTGGTAGTCTGGCAGACTATCCACTGGACCATTGAAACAATTGTTACGGTGCATGTGGCGGCCTCAAAGAAGCTCGAAATTCCTTCAAACTCACCGCAGGCATCTCTAGATTCCGCATTCCATTGTCACGGATTATCCTCGACCTCAATTCTTCTTGGGATCACAACTTCCGGGGAATTCGAATTTAATTCTTTACTTCCTTGAGTAAAGCCAAGATTTCTAAGGTTTAAAAAAGTGATTTGATATTTGATATTTGATATTTAATATTATATTTACTTACTGTATCCCTTCTCGAAGTCGATGAATCAACGAATCTTTTTCGATAAGTTGGATCTGAATGTCGGTCTCAGGTTCAACGACCTAAACTTGAGACGCATATTTTCCCAGCATAGGTTTTCGATTTTCTGAAGTCGTTAAAGTCTAGAGTTGTTTTTTGGATCTATTATTTGAATCAGTTAATCTATTAATTAAAATTTACCCAGATCGATTCAAATCTTATTGTTCATTTCAAAATTTAAGTATTTTTTTTACTTTTCTTAACAAAAATTCATCTCATATGGTTAAAATTGAAGTTTAGACTCTTTGGATGAGGGTTATTTTGATATTTTTAAACTTGCTCATCATTCTCACCTCTGTTTTATCCTTTTCCAACACGTCCAATTGTTGCTTCAATTGGATGTTTTCCATCAAAAGTCGTTGGCATTTCTCCCTTTCCGAGCCAAATCTTGCATCACGCGATCGAGCTATGATTTGGAATCAATTTTTGATCAGGAGTTTTGGTTTAAAAACGATTGTAGGACATTTAATACGCCCCCCCTGCGATTGGCAACCAACTTTAAGCTTAAATTTTTTTCGTGTTGAGGTGTGCAATTGGAAATAGTTTTTATACCAATCAACAGAGTAAGACTTTACGCATCTAATGATACCAAGAACATTGAAATTCGACAGTCCAACACCAAGATATTTGAGGTCAAAGTTAGTTTGCTAATGGAAAAAGGGGCGAGGCGAATATAAAATGTCCGATAAGCTATAAAAACAGTAAAGAATTAAAGTATACAAGACAAATGAAAGTTCTTTTTGTTTATTTACAACTTCCTTGAGTATTCAGACAACAAGACAATAATCTTGACGTATTTAATATTATATTATAATAAAAACAAACCTCAGTGGCCATAGTTGTCGTTTAAAAAAAGCAGAAAAGTAAGAAAATTTGATCAATTTGGCTCTCCGATCAAAGCCAAACAAGATTTTTCTTGCAACAAAATAAAAGTTTTGCTCTGTGATAAGGAAAGGTGATTCATTTTTATATTGGAAAAAGTGCTGGGAATTGCACAGGATTGAAGAGAAGAGAATAAGATTCAACTCATACAATTGAATCTATAGGTATCTCATGATTCTTTTTTTATATTTATTTATTAGTTTCCTGTCACAGAAAATGAGTAAAGTTATTCGAAATCAAATTTTCAGAGAAGAGCCTGAATTAAAGAATTAATGAATTAAAGCGAGACGAATGTTTTTGGACTGACTTGTAATGAGAAAAAAATGTGAGACAGGTTTTTAGCTTCAACATCCGCATTCGAAATGCGGATGTTAGAACAAATCGAGCCGATGGCCACAAGAAGAAGTCGCACAACGGAAGCAAAACCAATTTCTTTGGAGGGAGAAAAGTTCGATGATCATGCTCAGGTCATAAAAGTAGTGAATGACTACTTCGCCTCAAAAACTCCCAAGTTTTTCGTGGATGGGATCAGGGTTTGAGCAGAATAGAAGATGGGAAGAAGTCATAGATACTAATGGAGAATACCTTTCGAAATGAAAGCTCTTCTTTTGTGTTTTTTGAAATAAATGATTTGTTACATAAACGCGTCATTATGAAGTTGCCAACCTAGTAGTTTTCTGTGTTTCCTGTCATAGAAAATGACTAAAGTTCTTCTAAAGAAAGAGACTAAAGATCCTGAATATCTATTAAAGCGAAACGAATATTTTTTGACTGACTTGTAATGCGAAAAAATGTGGGACAGGTTTGTGAGCTCGAAATGAGAATGTTGGAGCAAATCGGACCGATGGTGAAAAGAGAAATGAAGAAGTGGCACAAGGGAAGCAATTTCTGACTGCAAAATGAGAAAATTGATTGAATAAAGCATTAATAAAGCATTTCAGAATAAGTTGAGCACAATTTTTTCGACTTAAGCATTTGGATCTGGTGCAGGTCAAGCCAGGCTTGACCTTGCCTTAAAAATTACTGGGCTGGTCTATTGGCTTAAGTATTTCCCTTCTCTTTCTTTCTTTCTTTCTTTCTTCCTTTCTTTCTTTCTTCCTTTCTTTCTCTCTTCCTTGTCTTTCCTATTTCTTAGACAAAGAATGTCAGATAGCTCAGTGGTAGCTTTGCCGATCGTCTTCTACATGATAAGCGGAAGATCGAGGTTCAATTCCCTTTGGTTTCAATTGTCATTCATTTCTTTACTTTTTAAACATCAATCAAAACACTAAAAAGCTTTCTTGTTCTGCATTTTCGTGAAAACTTTGCTTTTTGTTCAAAATGTTAATTTTTGTTCATTTCCCACACTCAAAATGTACAAAATTGTATCCTAAAGCAAGAAAGCACCAATATTACAAATTTAGCAAGTAAAAAAAAGTTTGATAAGTGAATGCAGAGTTGATAAAACATCTTATCTAATGGATTTAAACGTATCAAACGACTTTAAAATCAATCAGATTAAAACTTAAAATAATATCAATCAGATAAACGCTAAAAATGAGATCAAAAATCATTATCCTGGTCATTGTACAAGTCAAATAAACTCTCGTTTAAGTTCACATTTAAATGATAATCTTTTTCGGAAGGTGGTGGACTCAATCGTTGAATCACATTCTCGAATTGACTTTTTCTGTTCTCCATCATTTTCTTCTTCTTCTCATTCTAGAATTTGCCCAGGATCATCGAAATTTTGTGGCTCGTTTCGAGCAAAATTTCTCGGTTCTTCAGCAGTAATTAAACAAACTGTGCCCGGTCCAACGGAACTTTTCATCCTCAAAGAATATCTTGGATCAAGCCCGGATTTTGGATGCATCACTTCAACAGATGTCGGGAGCAGCGTGCAAAGTGAAGAGTGTCTTTTGTGGGAAAACGGAGCGTAAATCGTTTTGAGTGAGATAGGAATGGCTCATATTTTGTGGATCTTCCGTGATGTTTTTAATACTTTGCTTCAGCCAGCGAATGTGTTCATCAATTTGGGACTCTTTCTTGTCCAAGTCAGCACTTTAATCGCTCTTGAGTTGGGCTGAATATTGAGATAAATTTTGTTTAATTAAAATAGAAAAGGATTCCACTTATTCTAGTTTCTTTCCGTTTTTAAAACGTCCCTTTCTATCGTAATCTTGTCCCGATTTTTATATTTCTCGATATAAGCCTCACAAAATCAAATAAAAATTGAATAGATTGGATAAAAATAGACAAGATTATGGTAGAAAATGATTTGATTCAAGGGGCAGCTCAACTAGTCCCTTTAGGCTAGTTAAAGCACTAGATCAGGGTCAATCAATACTCCTATAATATCCAAACAATAAAGCCAGTCTAAATGAGGCTAAGCTATCCAACGTCTACAAATTTAACAATCATTTTTCCACTAACTTATCCTAAGAGTTTATTAGATTTCTAAAATTTAAAAAATTTAAATCTATAAGGTTGAAAAGAAAGTTTGTAGAAAAAGTTTGAACATTAATTTCTCAAAAAACCAATCCATCAATTCTTCTCCAGATTTCAAAAAGGATTAAGATTACGATTTGATGCTATTTACTAGAGCTTCACTTCGGCCTGTAATCAACTATATTAGGTTGGAAAGTTTGAACGTTAATTTCTCAAAAACCAATCCATCAATTCTTCCCAGATTTTTTTGATCAACTTGACTATATTTCAAAAAGCTTTTGACAAAAAAACCAGAGTCGGCTTCAGGTAAAAACATGAGATATTTCTTCAGCTGAAAGTGACTTGATCACTTTTTGAGTGCCCAACAACTGAACAAGTTTTCAATAGGTTAATGGATAGGCAATTGGTCTCATTCATAAACCTAAAATCAAGTACCTAAAATCGGAAAAAGATGCTTGATAAAGGAACAAATTTAATCTAATATTTTAACTTTTTAGAATCATCTATCTTATGCCCACTCAGGTGCCAAGAAGATGACACCAAAAAAATGATTTTTAAATACAGCTTTCCATTAAAAAAATTTCTTAGCCAAAAATAGAGATTATAAATGATATTGCTCATTTTTGCTAAGCTTTACCTTACTAAGAAATCGTTTTCTGATGCAAAAAGTGAACTGAATTTAAGCTGAAAAATAATATTTTTCAAAAACCTCTAAAATTTTACAGGAAAGCTACACTCATTTTTTACGAGTAATTTCTTGGAGTCGACTTTAATAAATAATAGAGCAAAATGTTCTTGAATTAGTGGATTCGTTTTAAGAAATTTCAGTCAAACCTTTTCCGAGAACTTTCTTTCCAGCCCTAATATAAGGTGATGAAACCCAGCACTCACAAATCTTTCCCAAAAAATAAAAAGATTTCAAGCCTCAGCCAATAAATTGTGTATACTGTTTGGAAAGTTCTGATTCTCCTCTACAAAATAGTCTAAAAGATTTTGAATTAGATTGATTATTGGAGAATTTGGTGTTAAAAAGTAACCGCAGGTCAGGTCAAAACCTAGATACCTGTGCCTGTAGGCGACTATCAGGCTTTCACGGACTCTTTTCGCTTCAAATTTTATATTAAATTTGTGCCTAATGCCTGATAGACTTGCATTTCTCCAAGCCTTGCAACGTCTTCAAAAATTTCTAAACCCATCAAATCACTCTCGCCAAATGTTTTTATTTTTTTATAATAAAAAGCAATATTAAAAATATAAAAACGGGTTGCTACCTTAAAAAATTTTTTGTATAGTTATCCGTTTGCGATTTATACCTCCCTTTAAAGGGTATGCATTACTTAATATTGCATTACTTAATATTTATACCAAAACTTAAACGATTAGCTTAGCTTCTATCGTGATATGAGAATCAAAGTTGAAAGTGGCTTTTTGGAAAAACAAAGTTTTAGCTCTAGAGAACAAAGAAATAAAAGAAAATTCTTTATATTATTTTCAAATAACTTTAATTAGCAGTATTCTCTAACGAAAACCCGGGCATGGCTATTACCGGGAACACTTTTTCTAGAAAATCGTCACTTTTTTGACGTAATAGTTCCTGAAGTTCTAGAGATCACTTTGAAGATCAGAGTTCAAAAGTTTAAAGTAGCTATTTTTTGATTTAAAATGGGACTTTTCAAAAAAAAAACAAAGATTTAACTCTAGAAGATATACAAAAGAACTTCTTTTCTTTGATTTTATTTTAAAATAACTTTAATTGATGGTATTCTCTAACGGCATAGCTATTGCCAGGCTGCACTTTTTCTAGAAAATCGTCATTTTTGACCTTCCAACTTAAGTCACTCAAGTCCCCAATAATCAATCTAATTCAAAATCTTTTCACACTATTTTTTAGAGGATAGTATACAATCAAGGCTTTTGATAGTATACAACACTTATTATTTAAAGCTTTCAATCTTTTGATTTTTGAAAAGATATGTGAGCGCTAGTTGCATTCCCCATCACCCTAATACAAGCTGCGTAAGTTCTGTCCTTGCTTCAATTC